ATATTTTGATTTTCTGCGAATACGGTCTGTTTGACGATTGATCTTTGAAACTAATCGGTTGATCAGATTGAGTAACTGAAAAACCTGAGTTGATTATTTCTTGGATAATATCTGGTGTTGTATTCTCATCGAGAAAACTCTGAAATTGGTTAATATTAACGTTTTCGTAGGATGGAATGTTATAATGCCCAATATGTTTACCGTGACTGCAAATAACTTTATTGCCACACTGAAAACAACTTAGTTTTCTTAAACTTATTTTAGAGCACCCAAACGACCAAAGAGCTTGGTGCACCATCATTGTACCTTTAGCTGCTTTTAAGACTGTTGGAAAACTTCTTGCTTCAATGTCATTTCTTGTTACAATCCGAATGTCAATCTTCACTCTAGGTTTAAGACAGGCTAAGAATGATTCTAATGAGTCCACGTCACCGCCAAAGCGGACTACTTGATCTGCTGTTCGTTTGAGAACAGCACCAACTCCGTCTGGCGCCCCTTTGCCATTTCCAGCTTCTAAGTAGTTCCAGGTCACAGATTTCAGTTGTGGAAAATCACGGTACAGTTGGCTGATCATATAAAAAATAAAGCGATTTCGATATTGGCTGGTTGGACTATCGGAAATAAAGTGTATTGTATCAATTTGGGTCGAAATCTCCATCACATACCCAATGGTCGGTATCAAATGTGCCCAAATAGCCGCAGCATCGTGTTGGGTGCATTCACTTACAGTGCAAAAGCTGTATTGTTATTGAATGCCAACTTCTGGGTCTATCAAGTAGATAACACATGTGTGCAGTGATATTTGCATTCTACTATCACCAAAGTGAAAACTCTGGATTTCTTCGTTATATTTAACGCAGTAGTTTTCGCTGAAGTCGACGTGAATCACTACTTCTTGCGGAGTAAGATTATTCTTAAGCTCTTTAATATTTCTATATTGAATTAAAATATTTGTGCAGTGTTTCATGTAGGTTATAAGAGTATTTTCTAAGTGAAAAATATTTCGTGGAAAATCATATAATGTTTCTTTTTTTGTTACTAATTTTGTTTTCTCCTCATTTTTTACATAATATTTTACAGAACAATTACTCCACTGATAATATTTAATTTTATTGTAATTATGGAATTCGGCGTAATCTAAATTTTTCAATTGACATTTTTCACATGTTCGTTTCAAACAATTTTCATCATAAATGTTGCAACATAAGCTTTCTAAAACACCTGTCCCGTTAGATTCTTTTAGTATTTTATTTGTGTTAAGGCATTTTATCAACAAGTCTACATTAATATGAACTTTGCAAGCACACGTATTCCTACTGGACTCTTTTGGAAATAAAACCCAAAATGGACGATATTTACAAAAAGTTTGATACGTTACTTTGACATTAGAATTATTCGTAAACTTTTTGTATAGATTAGACAATGTGTCCGTTAAGTATCTTTTCTGCTTCCTTATTTGGTTTTTAGTTATATATTCTTTTTTATCAGCTGCAATTCTAGTCATCTCGTCATCGTCCAAAATTAGTTGCTCTTTCAAGCTTTCACTTTTAGATATTTTATTTTCTTTTTTATTTCTTTTTGTGAATATTTTTGTTTGTGTCAAGAGCTTATATTTTTTTAAACTTTTCTTTTTCGGTCATAACCACACTAGAAAACTCTTTCTTATCTTTTTTCCTCAAGCACTTGTACCCTTCGCCAACACTTCTTGAAAGTATTTCACCAAATATTAGTCTCTTTTTAATTTCTTCACGCTTTTTTGTATCTACATTTTCTACTAATTGTTCTACTTTTTCTTCAGTCGATATGTTCTCGTTTTGTTTCTTATTTTTCATAACTCTATACAACATTTTTCCAATGGCATCTTTCTGTTTCTTCGTTTTTTCTATTTCTTGTTTCAAAATGCCTATTTCTTTTTTATGTAGGTAACGAATCTTTCTCAGAAGAAAATCTTTCTTTAGGCACCCTTGACAAGAATAACTATTACCGGAATCCAAACGATTTAGAGATGAATTAGGTTTGGGGCTTGGAGCTGGTCGAGTGAGAGGATCTTGTTCAGCTGGAAGTACTTCAGTGTCACTATTTGGTGGAGAATTATCTAGTAACAACTGTTGAATAGCTTTCTCTTTCTTTTTTCTTTCATAATGTCATTTTGAATTAACTCTCCATTTCTTCCTCTGAACTCTCAATTGTCTAGGTGTCATATCTCTTGCACTACTTTTTTTTTCTGTTCTTTTCTTTTAAGGTATCTTGCTCTTTCTTTTGCCTTCAGGTCTGCATACTTTTCAGGATCTTCTTTAATTTCTGCATACTTTCTTTGTTTTTGTAATCGATCGCGCTCTCGTTTCTGCTCTAATGTTTGTTTGGCTTTCTTTGGCATTATTAATTCTTAGTAATCTGTAACAACACATAATATAATGTCATAATATCAAGCTCATCCTTAACTTACATTTTATAAAACGTATACTATGTATACGTATAAACAAACGAAGCTACATCACGAAACAAAGTAAAAACTATTCATTCTTTATTTTATTATGCATTAAAGTATTATTATTACTGTATTGTAGTAGTATTATTGTGGAAAGAAAATTTCAACCATGGGTGGGACTAGAACCCGCGACGACACGGTTTACAAAGTGAAAATGCACAGTAAAAAAACAATAATAAATTGACATAAAAATATTCTAATTGCCATCGTTTTGACCTCACTATCATCGATATAAAAAACGACGGTAAACGAAGGCAGTGAGGAAGAAGGTAATGAGGTTTTAACCTTCATCCAATTTTTTTCCTAAAAATATCAATAGTACGAATCCCATGCTTATCCTAATTTACGAATATATGAAATAGAATTGATAATGAACTACATATTAAACAAAATCATTAATACTCAATAATAATGACGATAGAAAAGAGGACCGTTCCAAAATAATCACCTCCTGCAATACTTTACACGTAAATATTTTTTTTCCACGAAGAAGCGTGAAACTTCTACGATGTTTGCTGGTTTGCTGGCTGACTGAGACATGTGCGGGGCGTAGTATGGGGGTATTGCAACATTCAAGGCCATAATGCGCTTATTACATTATTCAATTTTTAGGAAATCTAATTAGGAAATTGGAAAGTGTAATCATAGTTAGAAGAGTTAGGATCCGATTTAGTTAAAGTTGGAGGTCCCGACCGCTCTACTTTCTAAATTGTCTACAATTTAGGACAGTGTAATCGCAACGTTACGATTTAGAACGACCAGTCGGTGCCCGCGCTTCGACCTAAGTGGATGTCTTGACTGCGCGTGCGACATTTGTTTGCGATGGCGAGTGAAACGACAGAACTGAGCAGTGGTTCGTGTGGCAGCATGTCCACAGAAAAAGAGGTGTTATTACAAATTATAGACCTGTATAGGGTAAATGCCCTATTTGTATAATAAAAATGAAAACTATTTAAAAAAAGCAATGCGTGAAGAGGGCTTCAAGATGTTGTTAAATATTTACAAATACTGACAAGTATTCCTTAACCCAGCATATTCTCATTTTTCTTTTTTTAATATGCATTGTTCCCACCACGGCTAAGGCAAGTCCTATTTTCTGCTGTTTTGATAAATACGGCGCCATCGATCAAACGTGCAACCCCGTCGATACTTCTTTTACGAATGTGCTTCGTCACGATTTAGAATTCAATTTAGTGTAATGTGATCACTAGCTTCCAACTTAGGTTCCTAATTAGATTTTCTAAAAATTGGATAATGTAATAAGCGCTATACGCCGACTTTAATTTAGATTTTCATCAAAACCGATGGTAATCAGATTTTTTTTTTGTTAATCATTTATGTAATAAAATTTCATTATATCGTGGAGTTATCGTTATTTATTTTGGGTGTAAACGTTGTCCTTTTTAATGAAGTTTCATAGTATAATTATTTTTTTATATTTAATATTGATATTTTTGGTTAAAAAACAAATTTATTTAGGAGAGTAGTAAATGGACACCAAAGAAAATGAGAATTATTGAAGTTTATTACTTATAATTTACTTATTACTTCATTTTGATCTGTAAATATTACATGCATGTAAGCATAACCTTATTATATTTAGATTCCTTTATAAGAGATGTAGATATTTAATGAAAAAATAAAGACTTTTCTCCTGGACGTGTAATGTGCACGTAAAATGAGAAACACCCTTAAGGGAGCAGCCGTAGGCCGTAACAACTGGTACAAATTACCATTTTTAACTTCTCATCACCATTTGAGTGTGAGTGTATGAGTGTGAACAGGGGGAGAGTTTTTTCATACGTAGATGATACTGCCATATTGTTTTGGGGAGACACGTGGGAAGAAATGCAGTTAATAGCGGAAAAACAATTAGCTAAGGTTGCTCGTTGCCTTAACAACACCTTACTTACTTTGAATGTTAGTAAAACTCAATTCATATGTTTTTCTGTGACTAGTCAATCACTTTGATTTCAATTCACGATTCAATTCTGGAAAAGTTTTGTTTCTTCAACTTGGTTATTCTCTTACATAGTTAATATTATATAGATCTAATAGATGCTGCTAGTTTTTCTAATACGGAAAGCACCTTAAGCGGACGCCCATATTTTTTACCATGGAGTTCTATGTACTACATACTTTTACTTTTCAAATCAATTGAATATTACTTCCATTCCATACCCCTTAAAATAGAATATTCAAGTAGAAGTACTATCCATTTTTAGCCATAGGCAATTAATATTTTTGCATTCTGCACAAGGGTATTTACTACTGTTCAAATCACATTTATTTTCTCCATCTAAAACTGAAATTGTGAAAAATGAATATGACAAACAATTCTATTTTGGTATAATTTTTTATTTCTAAATAAGCATTTATACAACTTTGTGAATTCAAGAATTGAGTTTATCAAATAACAAAGAAACTATAACATATTACACATACAAAAGTTATATGTTAAAATTATAGAAATTATTTTGTCACCTTACTCATATACATTTTATCCAATACATCAGTTCTTTTTCCATACCAGTGTCTTATTATTAGCAGGCATTTCAATTGTATCTATAAGAGATAAATTGTTCAGTTCTGCTAATTTTACTAAATCATTAATATCTCGAATACCCCATAAGGGATTTCGTTGTTTAAGGGAGATATTAAAGTCAATATTACTTTGAGGTGTTATTACACCATCTTTACTATAGGGGCCATATGTTATCATAAAAGCTTCTGGTTTTAAGTATGTTCCAGCATTTTCAAATAATCCTATAGTGCATTCATATGGACTTATATGCATCATGTTTGCATTGTATATATAGTCTATACTGTTTTCTTCAAATCCATAACAAGAAAGATTGTTCCGTACATCAAGCAGTATAGGTTGCAGTATGTTTTTCGTTGGGCAGTTTGTAGCATATATAGATATACTGCCTAACAAATTTTCATCCACTTCAGAAGGTTGGAATTTAACATCAGGGAAATGGGGTGCGAAATGTGCTACATGTTGTCCAGATCCAGATGCTATCTCAACAAAAATTGGACTCTCATCATTTAGGGTATCAGTATCACTAATTATAAATCTTTTTAAAACATGTAGTATAGGTTCTTTATTTCTAGATGCTGCTGGATATATCAGTTTTTCACCCTTAAAACTGTAAAAAAGTTTATAATTTATTATTATTTTTTATATTATAATCTAGGTTATTTTTTTACAAAACATTATTTACACAAAACAGTCTATTGCTGGATACTCATTGGCTGGTAAGAAAGTGCTTATAACTGCAGATTTACTCAAAACTAATTTTGATGGGAATTTCAATTATAAAATGTGCATTTGTGAGGGAGGGTTACAGCAGCAGTGCTCCTTCCCCACTCCACATTCTGTTCTGAATTATTATGAAATTTCCAAAAAATCCTAAAATAGTTATTTATCTTTCGTTGATAAAGGAGTGTAGCAAGGAGTTGTCCTACTCTCTCTACCTAAAATCTATATCTAGTCCTGCAGTAAAATCATGCATTAAGTCTGCTTAAAACTATTGTGTATAAGGAGTTTTATAAACAAATAAACTTATAATGACCATTGGCATCCTCTTTACGTGGTAGAGCCATGCTGCAGCTATATTAATAGTATAGTTGTAGCACGAATGGGTCGGCTCGACCGGAGTAGGACCACGCTCTCAGAGAAAACCAGCGTAAAATTGCAGCTTAACGCTGCTGTGTTTTATATGGTGAGTGTAGAGAACCGGAGACCCTTTTTACTGGCAAAGAGGCATTTCATCTTAGTCCTCATGGGTGACAACGCATCTGCATTTTGAGTCTTTATTGAATGTCTATGGGTCACAGTAACTACATACCATCAGGTGAACTGTGTGCTCGTTTGTCACTCTATCCTATATTTAAAAAAATATGTACGGTATATTGTCTTAAAGAATTTCATGATATGGATATCTTTCACACTCCTTTTCAGTTTTTAGATTAAATGTCCCCGCTATGAGGAAATCTTGTGGGGAAGGTCTCTGTTCAGCAGTGGACATTTGATAGGCTTGATAATGGTATTGTTGAAATTTTTTAATAACGTAATTATTAAGAAATTGTATTATTAAGAAATTAAACATATTTTAATAAGTAGCAAAGTTTAAAAGTTTTATAAAATTAACATTTCAGTACTTACACAAGTTTTCATCCACAATTATTTAAAAACCTACCTTTCATTTTGATATGAAGCATAACCAACATCGTCTGATTTTGACATGTGCCTGTGCTTGTGCCTGCTTAGCAAAAAAGTGCTGCAGGTTTTAAAATTCTTGATAAAACGAATGTTGAGTTTTTTATTCACTGATCCTTTAATTGCTTTAATTTGTGGCTATTTACGAATATAACAGAAAACGTAGCCGTAGATTTTTTAATAACTGACTTTACGGCTCTGGGTTCTAGTCCTTCTGTGCCTGAAGTTGCAATGTATAATTATACTTTCCTTCATAGTACACTACTTCACAATATATTGATGCATTACATCGTGCAGCCCTTGGGAGATATTTTTTTTATAGAAGAGTGGGCAAACGAGCGTGCGGCTCACCTGATGGTAAGTGACTACCGCCGCCCATGAACTACCGCAACACCAGGGGAATTGCGGATGCGTTGCCGGCCTTTTAGAAAGGTGTAAGCTCTTTTCTTGAAGGTTCCTAAGTCGTATCGGTCCGGAAAAATTACCACCGTAAACAATTCCACAGAGAAGTTGTATGAGGAAGAAAACTCCTAGTAAAACGCACAGTCGTAGACCGCCAAGCATCCAGATGGTGAGGATTGTATCGTGAATTTTGACGCGATGTGCGTTCGTGAAATTTGGCGGCTGGAATTAATCCGAACAATTCCTCAGAGCACTCCCCGTGGTAGATTCAAAGGGATGCAACAATAAAATCTATCATTGCATTTTATGCATTTGTAACGATTGTGTAATTATATTCAAGCAAGTTGCAGTTTTTTTATATTGCAAAAAGTACCCAATTCTAATTATCTGAAGTAATATCGACATTATAATGCGACCGATCTTTAAATAGTTTTTATTTCTAAACTACATAGGTGCAATTTCAATAATTAATATTTTTGAGATGTGCTATTTTAAAAACGTTTGTCAGTATTTTTATATATCTACTCCAAATTCATAGGCTAGGGTAGGGGGGTTGGTTCTGGCTATAGGTTAAGGTATCATGGTTCCTCGCCCAAGAACAAGATTCGACATTTGTAATTTTGTTGTAACTTCAGTCTCAGAAGGGCTAGAATCCAGAGCCGTAAAAACAGTTTAGAAAAAATATTGTAATTTTGACATTTGACATTGACATGTCATAAATCTGCTACTGTTATAATTATATTATATTATACTACACTGTTAGCATTCAATTTTCGATCTGATTCTGAATTGAATTCTGAATCTGAAACTATTTTTGAAGTGATGTAAATAATATACTTCTTAATTTGTTTTTATACCAGTTAAAACCAAAAATATATTAACATACACAAAACATCTCTTATTCGAGCTTGAGTCACGAGTTAAAAATTTATAAAAATACAAGATTGAATACTATTTGTAAATAATATTGTGTGAATTGAATCAATAAAAATGAATTTTGATAAAGATTTTATTATGGAATTATTTTTAGACGATAGTGTGTCTACAGTTAATAAGCTGGTAGTAGCCATTGCAAACGTTGTACATGAGAATAACGAAAATATTAGTAGTTTTGATGAAATATTAATTAGAGAGCAAAATCGTCAATTAGGGAAGTCAAAACAAGTGCCAAGGAAATTTACAGTTGCATCAAATATCAATGACTTTTATGAAAATACTGCAATTAATTTTACTGATGAGGATTATCTTGAAAAATTTAGAATGAAAAAGAGTACAGTACAGGTAATTGGTAAGGGTAAACAATCTGATTTAGACATGTATCAATTGTGAACTATACAGTTGTTTGATCCGGGTAGAGTAGGAATTGTTGATTGCAATTGGATTTGCAAACATAACCTTTTTAACTAGTGACCTGTGATCTAGTGTTTTCGTTATTTGCGCAAATTTATAATGTAATGATATAATGTGCATAGGCATTTTCTACCATTCCAAATAAATTATGTGATAGTTGCTTCACAAAACTATACTAATATTAATTTTTTTTTATAGGAAAAGGGTGACATACGAGCACACAGTCCACCTGATGGTAAGTGGTTGCTGCGGCCCATAGACATCTACATCTATCCTCTATTATAAATCAAAATGTAGATGCGTTGTCACCCATGAGGACTAAGATGTAAAACCACTCCCTTACAGAATAATAGCGTGAAATAGTAGCTTAATGATGCTGTGTTTTGTATGATGAGCTTAGGGAACTGGCAACCCTTTTTAGTGGAAACAAGACATTCCATCTTGGTCCTCAGAGGTGACAATGCATCTGCGTTTTGATTTTTAATAGAGGATAAATGTAGATGTCTATGGGTCACAGCATACATTTACCATCGGGTGGAGAGTGTTTTTCTTTAGTCACCTATAACAAAATATTAAATGGTGGTAGGTGTCATTTGGTTTGTGTACACTATCAACACCTCATTTAGTTATTATTTGTGAGTTTTTTTGTTCCAAAAACTACTGTATTGTATTAAAAAAATTTTTTTCCTTTTGTAGCTTTACTATGTAATTTATTTTATTTTACCACAAAATATCCTTTTAATGTATTATAATATATATCAACACTCACAGAATGCCAGTGTGAAACAGCAGAATAATGCTGTTTGAATTACTGAATTGAATAAGACCCTTTTACTGGTAATGAGGCTTTCTATCTTAGTCTTCAGACATTACAGTGCATCTGTATTTTAATTCTCAATGGATGATCTTAAGGCCGCAGCATCCACTTACTATTAGGTGGACGGTGTGCTCACTTGTCACTCTTATTCTATAAAAAAAATGTCACAACTACAATTAATTTAAATTTAAAAATTATCATATTTAAATAAGTGTGTTTAGTTATTTAATTTCAGTTCACTTCAGCTGAACTGAGTAAAAGGTGCAAATATGAGTCTCTGAGAGAGGACTACATATTTGTGCCATTTGCCGTAGAGACCATCGGTCCGTGGGTTCCACGTGTGGTGAAGTTTCTAAAGGAACTCTATTAGCGACTGGACGTTGCTGCTGGTGATAAGAGGGCTGGTTCTTTTCTTGCTCAAACGCTAAGTATAGCATTTCAGCAGGGAAACGCTGCCAGCGTTCTAGGCATATTACCGTGGGAGTAGGACTGTATGATAATTAAGTTACTAGTTTTAATTTTTCAGTTTTCATTTTGTTCTGTGTAATTTAATCAAAGTTATTTGGGTGATTCTATGTTAAGACTCTTAATTTCGGATGACGTTTTTTGTTGTGATTGGGGACAATCACTGAATTTAGTAATTGAGTATCATATGAATTGGATTATTGGGGCTCTACACGCTATTATGAGGAGTCAGAATGTGTCAAAGAAGGCATGTATGGCAATTCATAATGCTGTGTTAGTTCCTACTTTAATGTATGGTAGTGTAAGTTGGGTCTGGCAGAAGAAGCATGAGAGTAGAATAAATGTAGTAGAAATGCGGTTAAGGAGTATGCTATGGCTGAATCTGAATGACAGAGTGAGAAATAGTGTGATAAGAGAAAGGTGTGGTTTGCAAGATGACGTTGTGACCAGGATTAAGAAAGGAATGCTTCGGTGGCTTGGTCATGTAGAAAGAATGAACGAGGAAAGAGTGACAAATCAAATTTATGTTTAAGAAGCGAATGGCAGAGTCAGGAAGGGACACCCTAGACGAAGGTTCATACGTGGTAGAGCCATGCCGCAGCTATATTAGTAGTATAGTAGTGGCACGAATGGGTAAGCTCGACCGGGGAAGGACCACACTCTCACAGAATACCAGTGTAAAATAGCAGCTTAACACTGCTGTGTTTCGTATGGTGAGTGTAGAGAACCGGAGACCCTTTTTACTGGAAAAGAGTCATTCAATCTTAGTCCTCACAGGTGATAACGCATCTGCATTTTGATTCGCAAACGAACATAAATGTAGATGTCTATGGGCCACAGCAACCACTTACCATCAGGTGGACTGTGTGCTCGTTTGTCACCCTATCCTATAAAAAAAAAAGGTTTATCGCCTAAATCGACCAGATTAGGAGCACCCTTAACCGATGAGCGTGTATGCGTAGATATATGGATGTACAGGAGGCGAGAGAGGTGTGTTAGGATTGCGCCAAATGGGAGTCCGTAGTCTCTGCCTACCCTTCTGGGTGACAGGTGTGAGTGTTTGCTTGTATGTATGGATTATATTATTATGATTGATTTGATGTATTCATATCTTCTCGGGACATTTTGTTTCTACCCTTTCGACTTATAAAGTAGGGAATACAAATCATTTTTACAGTATTGTTAATCATCATTTTCATAACCATGTAGTGGCGATGTAAGAATATCCCATATTGTCCCATATATCCATGCATTAGAGCCTATAAAAGTTCACTGCTAAACATAGTCCTTCTCCATAATTTGCCTTATAGGAAAGATTTTGCCATAGTTATAACACTTGGCAAGCAGGTTGACAACCGCCAGTTCTCAGGTAGACAGTGCTGCCCATTTCCTGTTACATTATCCTCTGTTGCCTCTTCCGACATCTACAGAATAATATTAGGAAGATGCTCTAACGCCGCCACTACACGGGGAACAGTAAATAATTCATGGCGAAGAAAAGACTTTATGATGAAATATTTCTTACTAAAGCGGCCCTACAGAAAGTGGACCGACAGTTCAGTGAAGGCTCAGTGATTGTGTCCAAACAAAAAATGCGATTACCTTCATTATGACGCCTAGATAGCAACAGTTTAGTGATGGCTCTGTGATTGCGTCCTTCAACTCTTTCTGTTCTGTTCCATGTTGGTACACTCCGAAGGCGTGGAGCAGAAGTGCTTTGGTCTTGTCCTTTAAGAAAAGCGACAAAGCTCTTTTGAAGTACTGCAGACCGATTTTCTTTCTGAGCCGCATCTACGTGCTCTTTTCGAGATCCATTACGAATCGTCTTGCACGCAGATTTGACGACTTCGAGCCTTTCTAAGCGATTCGGTTTTTGAGAAGGCCCTAGCATCACAGCCACATACATCCCATTGGGTTAAGTATACAGAAGACCGAAAAGTGTAATTTGCTACTTTATCTCACGTACATCCGAGTAGAGAAGTAGAGTAGAGAA